GGTCTCTTCCAACTCTATGATTCTATGATTCTATGATTCTAAGTCACAGAACCATAGAGTCTTAGAGTTGCAAGGTCCTCTGTTTAAAGACATCCAAAGATAGGAAGCCCAGCATGTGTTGTCAGCCAAAAATCTTTAGAGTTGGAAAGACATCAATGAGTATCTAATCCAACCCCATGCCATGTAGGAATACACAACTAAAGCACTCCTGAAAGATGCCCATCCAACCTTTCTTTAAAGACCTCCAAAGATGGAAAGCCCACTGCCCTCTGAGGCAGCTCATTCCACTCCCGAACAGCTCTTATAGTCAAGATGTTTGCTCAGTATTTAAGTAGAATCTCTATCCTTGTAATCTGAATCCATTGGCTCAAGTTTTAGTCTCTGGAGCAGTAGAAAACAAGCTCACTCCATCTTCTACATGGCATCCCTTCAGATAGTTAAAGATAGCTATCAATCTTTATAAATGACTTAGATGATGGAATACAAGACAGGCTCATCAAAAGCCAATAAATTCTCAGCTGCATCAACTACAGTATAGTGTCCAGGTGAAGGGAAACAGCAGTGTCATTCTGTTCTGCTTTGGTCTGAGTTCACCTGAAATACTGTTTTCTGTTCTGGGCACCACAGTTCAAGAAAGTATCAACAAGTTGGAACATGTTCAGAGAAGGGTGACCAAGAAGATCAAAGTTTGGGAAATGATAAGGAATGGCTGAGGGAGATGGATATATTTAGCTCAAGAAGAGAAGACTGGGGAGGGGGGGTGACTTGGTAGATATTTGTAAATATGCTGGCTAGAAAGTAGACAGCTCGCATAGTTTGCTCTCAGTACTTGGATTTCCAATATCTGCTAGTTTGGAAGCTGAAGGTTACACATTTAGTTCTTGAGGGTGATAACAAGGTTTAACATGGAGGCACAAACAAGAGATGGAGGGAAACAGTCTTCATCCCTATACCTGAGCTGATCCCAAAGCTGCAAAAGTGACTGATTATCTGTGTCTAAGGACTGAAACACATAGGCCAAATAAACCAGCTTCTGCCTGGTTTTGAGGCAGGGTGTTTAAATGACGCACGCCTTGAAACCATGCCCACGACCAGAGCAAACCAGAACAAAAAGAAGCTGGTTTTTTTCCTGAATTTTCCCAGAAAATGTGCACCTTTACCCCTACATATAAATACCCTGATGTGTTTGTTGTTTTTTGGAGTGTCTCAGGGAAGCATAGTTAGGCAAACGCACATTTCCGCTACTCTGCTAATTTAAAACCAGATTCTAACAGGCTTGGGTTTCATATTTTGATATTTAAATATTTTTGTTTCCTTCGGAAACTTAAATTACCCCACAAAATTCCTCACGCACACTTAACAGCCCATGTTTAACATTACATAACCACTTCAATGAGGTCTAGACCCTTGGCTAGGTAGGCCATACATTCCTCCTTCTTGCCTCTGCCTGTTTCTTAGTAGCTCCACATATGCTGCAATCCTTTTCCAGGATTTGTTGGCTCTGCCATTCCAGACACTTGCCTTTGTTTCCCTGAATCTGGTTTGCATGACCTTTCCAGAATGGATCTCAGTGTGTTTTTCCTAGAAGGTTCACATCATTTGTACCTGCCAGATGCCCTCATTTTGCAGGCATATGCAGAATACATGACAGCAAGAAAAACAATAGGACATCTCAGCTTTTGATAGGAGGTTACATTATGTTTATCTTAAAGTTCCCATCCAAAGGTGAGAAGTATTCTAGTGCTTTTAAAAAAGGAAAATATTAAGAAAACACAGGTGAGTGACTTCAGAAAGAAAGTTTTGTGTAACCGCAGGCTGCAGCGCAAGTGGTCAGGCCTGTAAAACTTTAGCCCCACTTCAGCAAAGCCTACTTGGAAAGAAGTAACAGTGAGGTGAATGATTACCTTTCCCATCTGTTGCAGAAGCCTCTTGTAAGTGTCTTATGGACCTAAAACAGAATAAAATGTTGGTTAGTTACATTTTTTGAAAAAGAATATATGTATGTATGTATGTATGTCAAATGATGCTCAGAAAATCAGTACCACTGACCCATCAGAAGGAACCATGATCTTGCAGACTTTACTCAAGCTTGGGGCACCCTCTTTTGGCTATTAAGGATTTGCTCCTAATTCCCTGGAACCTTTGGCATGATACATACCAAAGCTTCATGATTACCAAATAGAGTTTGGCAGGGGCACAAATAAAGGACATGAGAGCATATGTTAGGATGATTAGCAGATCCTTCGAGAAAAGGTTATTGCTGACTCTCCTTTCTTCTGTTATGCTGTGCCTTTATTATTGGATACGATGGTAATATCAGTTTTGTGGTTTTTGTTGTTTTTGATTATGGGTATGTTCAAGTAACATCATAGTGACATTCATATAATGTAATGAGATATGTATTAGTGTATGATGGAACATGTGTTTGTAAACAGTTGGGAGAGAAAGGAATGTCTGGCTGGATAACGAGTAGAGGTGGTACTAGCAATCACTAAGGTCAGTCTCAGTGGAAGGAATGGCAAGGGCCTGAGAAAATAGGGCTGTGAGTGGGCAAGAGCAGATGTGTGAATGTTTTGAAGAATGAGCAAATGGGAATAAAGCCCACAAAACCCTGAAGAGAGTATTGTTTTCAGAGGCACAAATAGCATGGAAAGAATAGGGATAGGTTCCTACACCACAAAAAAGAAGTGTGGCTCAACAGCTTTCAGCAACCTTTCTATTCAAAACTATTCTATTCAAAATATGTGAAATGAAATAATCAGGTCAGATAAGCCTTGCATAAGTTAATTTTTTTTTAAACTTTCTAGAGATCAAAGGAAAGCGTCTTCCAAAATGCATCCAAGAATTATTTTTAATTTTAGCAGTTTCCCAAATGTATCCAGAGATGATTTTAATATTTTAATATGCAATCGTGTCAGGGAGGCTGTTATACAGGGTGTGTGCTTTAGTTATGTTTTTAACTTTTGTATGGTTGCCGTAAATTTATACTGTTTTTAACTAGTTGAGTTTAACTGTTTTTAATTTTTTATTGTAAAGTTTTAAAATGGTTTTATCTGTGAGCCATTCCAAATCCTTTTTTGGGAGAAAGGAAGCACAGAAATGAAATGAAATATGCTTGTAATTTGGGGGAGGTTATAATAGTCTTCAGAGGTCAAGCTGTTAACTTTGGTTTCTGAATAAGAATTCAGCTATTATCACATGGAGAACTGGTCTCCTGAACCAAAGGGCAGCATCTGACAGTATGACAGAAAAATTCTCTTTTGACTTACACAAAAATCTGTTCTTACTAATACTAATTATAGCTAAGTAGTTCAAAATACAGTTGTCCCTCCCAATTCATGGGAGATCTGTTCTGGACAACCTCTCCCCCACGAATTGGAAAAATCACAAATATCCAAGTCCCATTGGATATAATGGCTGTGTGGCCCCGCAGGCACGCATGCCATATTGTCCCTCCTGGCTTCCTGTCCACAGAAATTTAAGACCATGAACGGGAAGTCTGTGAATTAGGAGTGATGACTGTAGCATATGGCTGACAGAGAGGGAGCAATGTTATTCCATCTAATCTTTCTTCTGAGAACCAGGGTGGTGTAGTGGTTTAAGCGCTGGGCTACAACTCTGGAGACTAGGGTTCAAATCCCTGCTCAGCCATGGAGACCCACTGGGTGATCTTGGGAAAGTCACACTTTTTCAGGAAGACAAAGGCAAACCCACTTGGAACAAATCTTGCCAAGAAAACCATGATATGGCATTATGACCTTAGCAGTACTATAAATCAGAGCTGACTTGAAGGCACATAACAGACACAATTTTTCTTCTAGAGAATTCAGGGCTGCATACATGGTTATTCTCTTTTTTAATCCTTACAATAAGCCTAAGTCTGAGAAACATTGTCCTCAGTTCATTCTATCAACTCTATTGACATAGTTTAAGATTTTAAATTAGGCTATTGCCACCAGGTCCCTCCAGATGTGCTGGACTAGAGCTCCTATCACCTTCAGTCAGTCAGCATGGCCACTGACCAGAGCATGTAAACATTGGCTAAATCCTGTTAGTATCTTGTTGAGATCTAAGTTGCCCTATGGAAGCAGTTGGACATTTTTGTCTGATGTATTTAATTGAAAGGTATGGAAGTTAGCATTCTTGCAGACATGCCTAGCGCATGGATGCACAGAGCACACTAAACAAGGGGATGGACTCAGTTGCCCATAAAGCTCCTATCAATTCTATGACTCTATGATTTGATTGAATATTTGGTGCTTTGGTCCTGCTGCACAATGTTGTACTCAGCACAGGGAGTGTGATGCAGCAGCTAAAAAAGCCAGTACAATTCCAGGCTGCATCAGGAGGAGTGGAGTGTCTAGATCGATGGAAGTAACACTACCGCTCTATTCTGCTCTGGCCTGGGGCCAGTCCAAAGGCCTCGGGGAATCGCATCCGGCCCCCGGGCCTTAGGTTGCCTACCCCGGTTTATGCTATGCTTCTTCTTTAGCATCTCAACCAGTCATTCTACCTGAAGCCTCTGTCCTCCCACAAGGTGCAATGCAACACCCATTGTTAACTCACCATACAACTGGAAACAGAATGGCTCCACAGCAGAGCAAGTCTACCAGGAAAAGGATCTCTTTCCACAGTCCGTATTCTGTTGTGCCTTCTTCAGTTGACTCGATGATGATGTAGGCTACATTTGCCAAGACCTGGTCAAGGGCAACAGGAGATACGCTGTGAACAGTGTGAGGGCAGCCAAGTCTAAACAGAGACCCTGAGCTGGGAGAATACCACGGTTCTTCAGGAATGCAATATTTAGCTTTCCAAAGATTGCAGTTCTCATTTCAAAAACAAAGAAGCATATTTCTAGTCCTAACACTTGAAAGAAAATGGGCAAAACAAGAGAGTGGTCTCTGCCTTATGAAACAATCCTTCACTGCTATCTTGAACTGAGGTTTAACACCTCAAGAAAAGTGCATTTCCATGACTTTCCATAGTCCCATTTCTTCCCTTAAAATTGTATCAATGTCTGATGAAGAAGCCTGTGACATCTGAAAGCTTGTGTATAGTCGATCCTCAGTATCCGTGGACTTGCCACTCGTGGATTCAAGCATACACACACCGCATGCACACACCATCACTGGGGACAATGGGGTCTGTCCCTAATGGCAGCGTGGCCACATGCACACATCGCCATTGTAGTCCCGTTGTTCCCAATGGTATGCGTCACCATGGGAGACAACGGAACGTGAGCATCCATAGATTTTGGTATCTGTGGGGTGGTGGGGGTGGTGTCCGGAATGGATCCCCTGCAGATACAGAGGGCTGATTGTATTCTGGGTCTTTGGTTAGCCTAATAAGATTATCACTGCATGCATTTTTTGGACTTTCCTATATAGTTGCCCCTCCGTTCTCGTGGACTTGAGATCTGCAGTTTTGAATATTCACGGAGGGGCAACCTCCGTTAAGATCAATGGGGTTTGCCCCCACAGCATGTACCCCATTCAAGCCTATGGGGCTTGAATATTGACAAGTCTCTGTTTTCGCAGGCCAACTGTATTTTTATGCATAGTCAACACAGCTACCCCTGGGCAGACAGATGAATTAAGGTTTCCATTGGATGGATGGTGTGATTTAATGAAGACCAACATAGTTCCCTGTCTAATCCTCAAGTCAGGGGAAGAAACAAAGAGAAACTGTGTACAGCCTGCTCGGTTTGCCTAATTTATGCAGGTAACAAATTCTCTGTGGGTTTGAATCCCTGTTTGGCTATGGAAACCCACTGGGTGACCTTGGGCAAGTCACACTCTCTCAGCCTCAGCAACATTTCAGAGAATGTTGCAATGGCAAACATTCTCTGAAAAAGTTTACCATGAAAACCCCATGATAGGCTCACTTTAGGGTTGCCGTAAGTCGGTAATGATTGAAGATGCACACAACAACAACAACAACAACAACAACAACAACAACAACAACAACAGAACTTTGATGTTCCATAGCACAGTATTTGGATTTCCCATGTGCAAGGGAATGGTTCACTGATTTGAAATCCCTCCCACAAATGCTGAAAACCACTTGCCTTCATATTCAGTGGTTCTCAAAATTTTCAGCTTTCAGAGAATCTCTTTCACTTTCTCTCACTTTCAGAAAACCTCCCCAAAGCATATGTATCTATTGCGGAAAGCCTATCAATGGCATAACATTCTGTGAGGTTTCTAAGGAGCTTATTCACACATCACATAGAACATCAGTTTAGACCTGCTGGTTATTTTATAGGCCATATTCTTAGATGCGCCCAGGGAACAATCATGACACCACTACCAGCATACATATAGAAGATGGTGCTTCCTTAAAACAAATGGATTGAAGGAGAAAATTTTATCTCCTGCTGGGAAAACACTGACAGCTGCTCACCTGCAGTGGGATGACGATCATGAATATCTTCTTGTCCTTATCAGAGAGGATGTGCTTAATAAATGCCCAGCCCGTGCCAATGAGAGCAATGGTGATGAACAGCAGGGCTCCCTTCAGCCTGGTAAATGAAACAAGCAAGAATACATTAACTGAAATTAGCAGTGGCAGGAGGGCAAGATTTCCTTGAATAGTAGATTGTTTCTCCCAACTTCCAGGTGTAGACTACAACACCTGTTGTCCCCAGCCAGCATGGCAAATTTAGAAGCCACACTGGCTGAGTTCCAAGGTCCCAAAACACTGCCTGAAAGTGCTTCCCTACAAAGGGAATCTAGAGAGCTGGGGTGAAGGTGATGCTAGGTTCCCAGTTGAAGAAGCCATGACCCTTGATATGATCTGATTCAAGCCTAACCTCTGGATTATAATGTGCTCTGCACCAGTGTTTCTCAGACTATCTGATGTGCGGAACCTGCACTGAATTTATGCCCATTAAAACTTGCTGGGAAATGGGAGCAAGTTCTCAAGAGCAGCAACAGTCTAGGGACCTTGGAGCCCCTTTGTGCAGCACCAATCTATACACTTACAGGTGAGTGATGTAGTAGACAACAGCCCAGCCTTCAATGGGGTAGCCCTGCGTAGAGATGTAGTGATAGTCGATCTGGGAAGAGAAGGGCACAAGTCAACTCAAAGTTTTGTATCCAAGAATCAAAAGGGTTGTGGTTTTTTGAACCAGCTCTTTCTTAGGTGAGAAAAACAAAGGTTTGCTTATCTACCAAAATGTTTAGAAAAGGACACTCCTCATCAGTATTAATGCTATATAAAACAGGTTAGCCAAACTGAATGTGCCAGAATAAAACACAATTTAAGAAACAACTAGGGTGGGAGGAAACACAAACAATTAATACACCTACATATAAAATGCCTGAGCAAGTCCAAAGGTTTCACGTGGTGACTTCCCATGGGCCCAAAATATGACAGAGTGGGGCATATTTCACCCCATAATAACTTTAGACCTGAATAATAACTTTAGACCTGAAAATTATTTCAAGGGTTGCTCCAGAGTTTAAAAGGTTGAGAAAGACTGCCCTAGAGGATTCAACGAGCTGTTTTGGTAAATAGAAGGGTTCAAGCCATCTTATGAACTTCATGGCTCAGTGGAGACTTTAACGTGGGTTACTCTAACCTTGCAGTAACCACTACAACATTTCAGTAGTATGGGTGTTCAGAGCATGATTGGTAGTATGATTTATACCCAGAGCCTTTGAAAAAAGATGCATTTCTAAATCTCTACTGTCCCTTTGCTTCTATCTCTTCCCATATCTGACGCTCTGTGGCATAAGTTAGCAGACAAATGAAGCAAGATGTTCCTTACCGCATGGAAGACCAAAGACAGAGACTTGGTAAAAGGAAGAGCAGCCATTAGCCAGTGGATTTTGAACACGTCGGCCCTGTAAAGAAGTGGTGAGAACTAAAGAGCAATTCAGGCACCAATTCAGTAGAGGACGAGTCTGCTTGTGCTGCATTAATGCTTTACAGGACTTCACAATTAAAAGCAGGATGGTGACTTCTGTCAGTGGGATGATGGATCTGTTTTGGACTTTAAAGTGTGGTGCTGGATTCTGCTCTGGGCCAAGCTTTAAAGGAACTTTCCAAAGGGCTGGGCCTGTTTTTCAGGCAGGACTCAGCACCAAGGACAGCTCCTTTGACGTCTGCACTGAAACCCAATAAGATTCTACACTCCATTGTCACCAGCCATGGCTGATAAAATGTAACAATGCAAACACTTTATTGAAAGGATCTGTGAGGTGGCTTTGTGGCTAGTAAATAAAACAGAAGATAATGAAGTCACTGTGTTCCTAGGCATTATTTCTTTAACAGAAAATTTGTTACCAGAGGCAGAAATAACATGGAAAGAATAGGGATTGGTTCCTACGCCACAAAAAGAAAAGAGCCATTCAGTGTGTTTCAGAAAGCTTTTTATTCAAAATGAACATATTGTTAGTTAGAACATATGAAATGAAGCAATCAGGACAGATAAGTCTTTCAGAAATAAACAAACATTTTTCTTCTAGAGATGTCTTGAAGGCTTCTTCCAAAATGCATCCAGGGATAATTTTTTCCCTTCACTTTTCTTATGACATTTATTTTGGTGGCCAAACTTCTAGATGTATACTTTAAAAAATAAGCTGGGAGTAGCTGGCGAAGGAGGCTTACCTACTCTCTTCTTTTCTCTCAGTTTTGTGGTTAATGAC